ACTGTCGAGCTTGGATGGCTGACCTGGGCTGGACCACCCTCTGTGGTGGAGCAGGCCCAGGGCTGTCTTCGCGGGCGAGTTCGAGACCTTGCGCAACGACCTCGGCCTGGTGATCAACAACGCTGCGCCGGAAGCTCTCTGGCAGATGGGCAAGGTTGAGAGGAAGATACGCTACCTAAAGGAGATGGGGACGAGTGTCTTCGATGCTGGAGAAGTTCGTGGTCAGGATTCCGTTGCAGCTGCAGTGCGAGGCATGGCCAACGCGTGCACCCAGCTGGTTAGCGCATCGGGTTTTTTCACCGCAGCAGTGGGCTCTGGGAGCTGGAGATCGACAACCTGCGAGTTTGGCGAGTCCCGACGACGACCCAGCAGTAGTTTCGAGAGTAGCTGAGGGGACATCGTTCTGGAATCGATTACACCTTCAGCAGATATGCTCGGAGTCCTTTTTCAAGGCGGCTAACTCATCTGTTTTGGGGCGGACAGTGCTGGCAAGGACAGGGCCCCAGCCAGGGCCTTTCCAGCAAGGAGATCCAATGATTTTCTGGTGATCGGACAGTCTAAAGAGAAATCTACATGCTCGATGGCATGCCTCTGCCCGGTGCCTGGGCAAGGACGAGGATGGCCACTGGCTGATTCACAATCGGATACCGCTTCAGAGGTCACCAAGCCCACTGCGGAAAGCGACCGAGCACGAGGTGACGACCATGCAGTTCGCAAACCTGTTCTCAGACGGCGGGCCAGCCCGATCTCGAGCTGGACAGAGAGGTTTTATAAACTTTCGAGGGGAGCAATATAATCCAGCACGAGATGCCCAACGCCCAGACCAACCACCAGATCAACAGCCAGACCAACACCGCGATCAACAGCCAGACCAACATCAAAACCAACAGCCCCCAGAACGACAGCAAGACTACCGTCGGCAGCTATCTGGACAGCAAGAAGCTTCACAACAGCAGCCCGTGCACGGACAACAAGACACACCAGGAGCAGCACCAGCTCAAGGTGGTGCGAGTCGTCCGAAGCAGTCGGACAGCAGAACCAGACGATTGGATATGGTGCGCGGCAGTGACGCGATGCTGATGCGGCAAAGGCTGGACGATGAGTACGGACCAGTACCAGCTGATCAAGACCAAGCAGAGGGGGATATACGAGCGCGACTACGTCGAGCACGCCAAGCCTGGGACACCGCCCTGGAAGCAGTGGCATCCAGCAGCCAGGGCAGACCGACCTGAGGCAGCTGGATATCATCGGGAATGCACCTACTACCCAAACCGGCACCAGGGTATCATATCGAGAGGAGGCGACTGTTCAAGTTGGACACACTCGATCTGGTTCAAGACATGTCGATGGTGGACTGGATTGCAAACCGTCGGATCATCGACGATGTGGCGGCACAGCAACCGATCGCAGTCATCGAGGAGATCAGCGATGAAGGAGGAAGGAACTGAATGTGGACCGGGAGGTGGCCAACAGCCTGCAGCCTCACAGCCTGGACCTCAAAGCGGCGGCACCACTGATGAGATCATGGAGGGGTCGGAGCAGCCCAGGGAGGTGAAACGCGGTGGTAAGAAGCATTCCGTCAAGAAGGACCTGAAGGTCATGCAGACCAAGAAGGATGACGCCCACGACGATGGAGCTCAACTTCAAGTACCTGCCAGTATGCAGAGGCATAAAGAAGGACGCAAGAAGGCAGAGGAGACGGCAGCATCGCCAACAGCAGCATCAGGAGATCAACCAGGTACAGCAACATCGAGTACTAGACAGCCGGAGCAGCATCAGGGCAGCAATCGCCTGGAACATCCCGCGACGCTTAAGGAGTTCCGGTTGGGCGACGTGCCCATCTGCATCAAGTGCGCGAAGTGGCAGACGGGGCCAGTAAAGCAGTTGGTGGAGACGCCAGTCTTGGTTGAAGCATTCGTGGCCGAGCGGATGCGCACGCAGCCGACAGGGGCTAGCAAGCACCAGGAGATCAACCTGGAGACGCTGGGCGACGACAAGTTTAAGTGGAAGAAGATGCAGAGTGCAGTGGAGAAGGAGTGGAATACCTGGTGCAAGCACGATCCGGCAACCCGCATATCAGGAGCAGCGGTTGAGAAGATAGACCCTGACCAGCTCCTAAGCTCCAAGGTGGTCTGGACGGACAAAGACCCTGCGACCTTTGAGCAAATGGCGAGAATATGTGGATGGAGCTACGAGGAGGAGTTCGACGACAAGTTACGTCGAGACTCTCCTACAGTCTCAGCACAGATGACGCTACTTCTGTGCAGCATCGCATCGAGCCTTAACTTGGACCTAGTCGTTGCATATGCGAAGGGAACCTTTCTACAAGGCAAGGCGACCAAACGCGAGCTCTACTTTCGGATCCCGGCGAACCTTGGGAAGCGCACCATGCCCAGCGTCAAGGCAGGCGACGTGCTGAAGCTTAACAAGAGCACACCTGGGACCAACGATGCGGCAAGAATTCGACGCTCGTGAAGCTTGGATGGGGAGGCCTGAGCTTCGAGCCCGCCACCTTCTTCAAGCGCAAGAAGGAGAAAGCGATTATAGGGATCATGTGTCTACGCGTGGACGACTTCCTCAAAGGCATGAAGCAGGACGACCCTGAGGGCGCCAAGAGCATGCAGGCCTCTCAGAAGGAGATCGATGTTGGCGAGGTCAAGTACGCGAGGCAGGAGGAGGGGGCGTTCTGCGGCCGGGCCTATCAGCGAGACAAGGACGGCTGCATCAAAGTCTCCATGGGGGCCTATGTGAAGTCTATGCAGACTGTGCGTGTCTCGAGGGAGCGCAGCAAAGCACCTGGCAGTGCACTGACCACTGCAGAGCATCGAGGACTACGAATGGTGATTGGACAACTGCAGCGCGCTGCGCGAATGATTTTGTTCGAAGCAGTGTTCGTGTTCGAGGCGCCCCGATTGGCATCAGCGCTGGGAGCACCGACGGCGAAGGATCGACAGGGCGGGGCTGCAGCTATCAGGAGAATCCAGAAGCGGGGCGACCTACTGATCAAGTTCATAGCTGGCCGGGTGGAAGACCATGGTAATCGACGTGACCGACTGTTTTCGACAGTCTTCTTCAAAGATTCAACGAGTGGTGCGATCTACTCTATCGGCGGAGGCATACCCCTGTGCAGATTCTGTGGATATGCTGACCTGGACAAGGCCAACCGTAGCGGAGATCCTATACCCAGAGATGGATGCGGCCGAGATCGCGCATGACACCTGCCCGGTGAAATACATTTCGGTGACCGACTGCAAAGGGCCTGTATGACGCAATCACACTGGAGTAGGTATCTATGGCGGATAGGAGGCTTTCTCTGGAGGCGGCTATACTGCGCCAACACTAAAGGAGTCGGCATCAAGTGTGCCAAGAGCGAGCAGATGCTCGCGGACCGTTTGGCACAAGTGCTTCCAGGAGGCCACGCGAGGAAGATTGTGGCATCTATCTTGTGGACTCTTGGGCCCGATGACAGAGCGCCATCAATGCGCGAACGGGAGCTAGTTGGACCATAGAAGTGGCAGCCAACAGGGAGGGCGACGACCTGAGCGCGAAGATGGCTAAGTACGTTAGACAGGAGCTGTACGGCGACGCCGATGGGAACGATGAGAAATCTACCTAGCTGGTGGAGACGTACAACTATGTAGACGAGTACTTCAAAGATGACAAGGACGAGAACTACGACGAGGCCGTGTATGTTGAAATATTCTACATGGACGACGCGATGGACAATTTCCCAGTGGATAGGAGTGGTGCGCAGCGAACCATGCAGATACCTGACCAAGTTGCGGTTCTGCTTCAATTCTGTGCGCTTGCAGCGTATGGAGTTTATCTCTCGACGTCTCCTACGGCGGTGACATTGGTATCGATCATTAGGGGTGTCATCATGTTCATCCACAGAATGCAGCCGAAGCAGAACGACGGCGAGAATTTTGGCGCGGCACCGATGGAGGTGGACAGTTCGAGCAGCGACAGCGTTTCCAGGGCGGAGGTGCCCAAGTAGGCACAGCTAAAGACAGCCGCGCTACGCCTGAAGGCTGAGCCTGGGGTGGAGACGTACTCCGGCGAGATTGCTGAGGATGGGCAGATCTACCTGGGGGACAGTGCTCTCCTGAGGCAATGGTTGGTTGCACTGGGACCGATGCGCACCAAGAGTAGCAAACACGACGGCAGCAGCTTCGCATACATAAATTGCAAGGACAAGCGCTACGCAAATTGCTTTGGACGGTGTCGGAAGCCGGACGCACACGAGAGCAGGAGCTACAGTCTACCAGTTTTGTGTGTACATTGGGTGGTGGAAGAGATTGCGCTGATATTGCTGCGAGCTTTGTGTTTACGTTGGTTCGTTGGGGAGATGTGTGCGTGCCCCCTCTCAAGCGAAGAGGAGTTGAGTGCACCCTCTCAAGTGATTAGATGACGTTTGCATCAAGATTCGATCTGCTATATTGAGATTTGTTGCTGGAGATTTGATTGCTGTTTTTGATGTTTGCTGTTCAATACTTGATTTGATATATTGATAAGTGTTGTTCGGTGCGCGGGCGGCTTCTGGCCGGTCGAGCCGACAGGCATGTCCATGAATATTATGGAGGTTTGCTTCGGACTTTGCCACGCAGTCTTCAGCAACAGTTTCCTTTTTGTGTGTGAAAAGCAGAAAGGCGAGGATGAAATATTTAGGGCGATCATGAATTATCTGCCCCTCCCGTCCGTGGCCGTTGTGGCTAACGAGCTTGGCGGGAGGGTGGGCGCACCTACCCGCGACTGCTTTGACTACGTATATAAGTAGTTATTATATTTTCTGCGGCGTGTTTGCTCCAAGTATTGCCGGGAGGGATATTGTGATATGTATTTACATTATCTATCGATGCAAGGCCAGCGCCTCCTAAGAGGTGGCATCGTGCCAAGAAGCCGCCCCACTTCCCCCTACCTGCCCCTCGTTTGGCGCCCCCCCCGCGCCCTCTCCCGCCCCCCCCGCCCGGGCGGCCGCGCGCGAAAAGGGCGCGCCCGAGGAGCCCGAGGAGGCCGCGCCGAGGCCGCTTTCCATGCTGCAGCAGATCGAGCTGCTGCGAGTGGGCGGCCCCGAGGAGCCAGGGGCCGGCCGCGCGCCGAGGGTGAGAGGAGGAAAAGGCACCAAGACCTCTACCCTCCCCTCGTTTTCCCCTTTTGGGACGTCCTGGGCGGCCCTCGTCGCCACCGCTGGATTCGCATCGAAATCCTGGTCGGAACGCTCCCGGGGAGAGGTCCGGGGAGTAGCGGAATCGGCGCCTCTGGGTCTCCCCAGAGGGGGGTGTCGCGGGCGGCGTTTCTCCCCCGGTCCCCGGGGTCCGCCCCGAGAAGTTTGGCCGCTCAAGAAGAGGAGGGAACCCAGGGATGCACTTCGCAAAGGGGTTATTCGGGCTCGCCCCTATATCGGACTGACGCCCCCCATCGTGCTAGCCCAGGGTCGGGCCCCAAATTTTTGGTCCATCCGAAACCCCACCCACGAAGCCTGGGCTAGGGTGGGGGGCTGGGCGTCGCTCGGAGGCATGCATTTTTGTTGTCGGCGAGGTCAGCGCCAGAACAGCTAGACTTCATGGGAGCACCTTGCAGCATCTTGAGGAACACGTATCCCAGCGAAGGGCCCAGCCATCTGCATGCGAGTATCGCGGCGCAGGTGATATGAATGAGGGGCCAGCAAAAGGTCTGCGGCGTGGACGGAGAAGAGCGGGCATGGGCGAGCGGGGGGTCTTCTTTGGTGTCGCGCGAGCCCCAGGCGCCGCCGTTTCGTGGCCATCTCTTGGCCAGCCACTCCTCCCCGTTTGTTTCCGCTGCGCGCTGCGTTCCTGCCTGCCTGGCCCGCGATGGCCCCGTTTTGTACCCACATCCCGGCTTCATCTTTCGCCACCCTTTGCCCCTCTGCCCTGGCGCGGCCCTGGGCAGAGCGCTGGGCAGAGCGCGTCGGAGTCGGGCAGCTCACCTGGAGGCACAGCGCAGGGGAATCCCACGCGACGCGCCGGTCGCTCCGCGAGGAATCCAGCGACGCGCGCGGGTCGTACGCGGCGCGAGACCAAACATTTGGTGTTCCGAGGTGGACATGCGGTGGGCGGGGAGCCGCATGCAGACCCTGCCAGAGGGGCTTTCCGTGGAGTTCCCAACAGGGCCGCGAAGCGTGTGAAGGGTGTTCCGAGGAGGGCACGCGGTGGGCCGGGAGCCGCATGGAATCTTTGCCACTGGGGTCTTAGGTAGAGTTTCCTTTGTGGACACGAGGCGTGTGCGCGGTGTAACGACCGAAGTGCCAGTGATGCGGAAAACAGAAAGCAGGGGGGGGGCTGACCAGGGGGGAGAGCAGAGGAGGAGCTGCGGGGATTGTTCCTTCAGAGCGAGGACCCAACACCTCGCGATGGTTGGGGGAATCACGCACGGAACCGAACAAGGCACGGGGAGTGGGCGCCCCAGCGATGGCAGGGGGGAGGGGGGAACTTGGAGGTAGTGTTGATTGCAATGTCGTTGATGAGTCTTGGGTTTGCTCTGGTCCTCTCCCGCCCTCCCGGCGCGCCTCCCCGCGGGGGCTGGGGCTTTCGCCGAGGCACGGGCGGCCGCCCGAGATACCGCGCCGGTTGGCTCAGGGATTCCTGGGCACAGGGTGACGACAAGGACGATCGGCCACTTGCAGAAGGGGTAGGGGGAGAGGGGAGGGCTCCCTAGAATCACCCCTGCTTCTCTTGTATGTAGGTGCAGGGCCGGCGCTTTCTAAGAAGCGGCATTCTCTTTTTGAAGAAGCAGTTCCACCGCCCCATGACCGCTTTTGCGTGCCGCCAACAGGGGTGGGGGAGCATCAGGGGAAACGCCAAGGGGGGTGGATAGGCTATGTGTTCGAGGTTCGAGGTGCTCGGGCGTGTTCGCCTGTCCTTGGCGGGTTTCCAGCATCGGGGTGTCTCCCCGCATCGGCGCCGCGCCGAGGGCGTGAGGGGGCAGGTCTTCTCAGGGGTGACGCTAGGGAGGGGCAGGTTCAGGGGCGGACGCATCGAGCCCCAATCGCCCATTGATCGCCGAGAGGGGCCGGATAGCCTGCCCCGCCCAGGACCGTCCGGATTCGCTATCGGAGGCCCATCGCCGATTTATCGGCGCTGTATCGCCGATTCCAGGTGGATATTTCCCCCCATGAGCTGCTCCTCCCTGGCGTTGCCCCTCAGAGCGGGTGGTGGAGAGGGGGCTGGGCGAATGGAAACAGGACATGCTAGATGCGCCCGCGCCTCAGACCCGCCCCTCCCATTCCTAACCATGGGGTTGAGCCCCCTCTCACTCGCAGAGTCGAATGTCGAAGAGGACGTGCATCCCGACAGGGCCGCTCTGTCTTGAAAGTGGAGGTTGTTAAAGCGGGCTCGCCACTTCTGCGGTTGCAGTAGTGCGGCCAGCGCGGCGGCGAGAGCGTCGTTCCGTTCCCCTGAATGTTCTTCATATGGCAAACGCTGCAACGAGAGCTACTTCTTGCTAACGCAAGAGCACGGCCAGCGCTGCGGCGAGAACAGCGAGATTCTGAATGAAACGTGGCCAGCGCTCCAGCAAGAACACCACTGCTGCTCAAGCCACAGTGCGGCCGGCGATGCAGCGTGAGCGACGTCTCGTTGGACGGAGGCTGAAGTCGAAGCGCAGCTTTTGAGGGGCCGAGAACGGCTTGCCAAACGTTACTGCTCGGCAACCTTGTGTGTGTGTGTGTGGGAGAAGAAAAACAGCATACGGGATCGGCGTCGGAACATATAGATAGTACATGGGGGAGAGGAGAGAAATATAAATATACAGCTGCACGCGGCAATTCCCGCCACCGTCCCAGTGGAGCAGCGCAGCGCGGAGGAGATTAAGGCAAAGCCCCACTGCAATTCTTGCCGCTTCGCGTAACCCCACCGCTTCGCTTCGATGGATGGCGGGAAGATCACTGGCAGACGGGTGGCAAACGCGGCGGAGGTCGCCCTGATGATCGGGACGATCGAGATGAAAAGAGACTCCGTTGGGGAAACTGAGCTCCCTCTCCGCCCCCTCCCCGCCCCCATTGCCCGCGCCACCACCGACACCTTACGACACGCTACCGCGGCCCTCCGCCGCTCTCTCCTTCAACCTGGGGTACCACGCCCCTCCCCTGGACGGCACTCTCACTCACCCTTGGGCCCTGGGGTGCCGTTCAGTAGTACCATCTGCTCTCTGCGCGACACCGCGCATCCTGCAGACCAACGTGCCACTGGCATCGCTGCCTTTCTCCCTCGGTGGCCGCAGCCCTCTCGCCGCAAGGCTCTCCCGCTCCTCGCCGTCGGTTTCACTTCCTAAGTTCCAGCTGGCGCTGCACCAGGCCGCGCCGTGGGTTTCTCAATCGCAGCGCTCCGCCGCCCTCCACCCGAGGCGCGCACCTCCTGCCTTTGGATTCATGTGCGCGCATCGGCAATACCGTCCACTGCCCCCCCGCTGTGGACTTGTGGCCTCTGGCCTTACTGTAGATGTCTCACCGCCAGGCGTTCCTTTCGGCCGTCCGTGGGCCGCGGCTCGCCTGACACTCCCTGGATCTCTTAAATAAGCTGCACGGCCTTCCGCCGTCACCCTGGATCGAAGTGGCTCTGAGGGATGCGTCTTGGGTACATGACGGTCTCGCCCCTCGGGTGCTATCCGACTCGGTGCTGAGACACTTTGGATGTGCACACGCCACGTGGTCGACCGTGTATCGTGCACTACGACGCCCTTCCACTCGATGGATCTGGGCTGACGCATCTCAGTTGTGGAAGGTTCCCCCATTATCATGCTCCACAACCTGGATGCATTCCTTGCGTCGCGACTTGGATTCGCCGTCAGGTTTTTCCGCTGGACTTATGTCCCAGTCAGTCTGTGTTACCTGTCAGACTCCCTGGATCGATGTCCTCAGCACTCTTAAATGCTGAACGGCCTTCCGCCGTGACCCTGGATCAGTGGCTCTGAGGGATGCGTCTTGGGTATACGAAGGCCCCGTCCCTCGGGTGCTATCCGACTCGTTTGGGTAGCGCTGAGACACCTTGGATGTGCACACGCCACGTGGTCGACCGTGTATCGTGCACTACGACGCCCTTCCACTCGATGGATCTGGGCTGACGCATCTCAGTTGTGAAAGGTTCTCCTGCCATCATGCTCCACACCCTGGATGCGCTTTCTTGCGTCGCGACTTGGATTCGCCGTCAGGCTTTCCGCTGGATTTATATCCCCAGTGGATCAGTCTGTGTTACCCGTCAGACTCCCTGGATCGATGTCCTCGGGAACTCTTAAATGCTGAACGGCCTTTCGCCGTGACCCTGGATCGAAGTGGCTCTGAGGGATGCGTCTCGGGTCTTCCGGTTCCGTCCCTCGGGTGCTATCCGACTCGGTGTGGTAGCGCTGAGACACTGTGGATGTGCACACTCCACGTTGCCGACCGTGTATCGTGCACTACGGCGCCCCTCCACTCATTGGATCTGGGCTGACGCATCTCAGTTGTGGAAGGTTCTCCTGTCACGCTCCACGCCCTGGATGCGCGTTCTGGCGTCGCGACTTCGCGTCACCGCCAGGATTTCCCGATGGACTTATGTCCCCAGTCAGTCTGTGGTACCCGTCAGACTCCCTGGATCGTTGACCTCGGGAACGTTCCTTTCTGTTCGCATCTGGACTTCTGGGAACGCCTCGCGCGCCATTTTGGCTGCGCTTGGTCTCCTCGGTGCCTGTCCTCAGGCTCGTTGGGTGCACCGTTGCATGCCCGTCCTGGGGCTGTCTCAGTCTCCCTGGATTGCACGTCGGCTGCCGCCCTGGGCGCTGCCTCCCTCGCCGCCTAGCCGCGGCCGTAGCCCGCCCGCGACCTCCCGCCGCTGGCGCTTCCGCATGCGGCTGTAAAAAAAAAGTAACCCCACCAGTCTTCTCGGCCGGCACTTGTGCTGCGCCGTTAATTATCTGCCCTCCCGTGCGCTGTGCCCCAGCCTCGTTCACACCGCCCTGTGGAGTTTTCCTTGCGGGCCGCGAATCAAACAATAAATAACCGCACCAGCTTCCGTAGCCCTCTGGCTCAAGCCCCTCTGGCTCAAGCCGCTCTGGCTCGAGGTGCCGAGCCGGCTGGCCGGGCCAC